GAGAGAGAGAGAGAGATCATGTGATGAAGGAGTGATCCAGGCTTGCTGGGTTTGTGATGTGAGACACACACACTCACACGGTGAAGGCTACGGTCACACAACCCCCACACGCACCGTCTCATGACTGCTGGTACCTAACCTGAACGAGGCGTCGGGCTCGGGCGGGCAAACAATCCCCGGTGTGCTGCTGCTGGAGGGAAGCATCAATGCCTCCAGGTTCCCTCTCACATATCGGCCTGGACCTGTTCTCATCATCGGGCCTCCTGCGCTGAGATAATGAAAGGATGGCCGAGCAGCGTTGCGGGGACCACGGAGGGCTGACGGATGCTGCTGCAGCGATGAATTCAAAGCAGGAGGCAGCAGCGGAGGGTCTCTCTCTGGAGGAGATACTGGGGCTTTATGGCCAGCCCATCAATGAGGAGCAGGCATGGGCGGTATGTTACCAGTGCTGCAGGACGCTGGCGAAGGGACACCGGGGCAGGAGGAGCTGCTCCGCCGCAGCCGGAGCATCATCAGCGGCGGCTCCGATGAGGATCTCCGGACCGGGGGATGTTAGGATACAGAAAGACGGGTCTGTGAGGGTGGAACAACAGGGCTGTGAAGGTAAAGCATTATTTAAGACTGAGAACGCCTACTCCAATCTAGGCCAGGCCATTACTTAGCCTACGTTTCAAATAATAGAGCTAAGGTGTTGTGATTGCCCTTATGTAAAAGATACCAGGAGTGCAACATAGCCCACACAATCACAGCAACACTTGCGTAATACAGAACAGGAGTATAATATACATATATCAAAGCAACACTGTCACCATAAATCAAATGTGTAGGCCTGCACATGTTTTGAAACTGAACATGTGCCTGTTTTGTGCACGTTTTTACTGACCAGGTGCTTTATTTGCACCTAATCTGCAGCAGGGCCACAACATTCAGGGCTCCATTACACATGATCCCTGATAAACAAAGGGATGCCATCAGACACCCCTGCTGCTCTCACTTTCAGTGCTCCTGTGGTGTTTTCACTGTTTCCTCCTCACAGGAGGCACGTGTGTGCATCATGTGGTTTCATCTCTTATTAAAAAGCCTCTCAAGCCTGTTTGCCCCTTCTTATCAGATCAGTGTGTTCATTCTGCTTCATCTGATTAAAGCAAGTGATTACAAGCTGAAATGTGCATTGGCACTGATCGGATCAAGGTGTGGGCCTGTGTGTGAATAGAAAAGGACGTCATGGAGTGATGGTTCACCCCTGCACACACCTTGTATCTTTATGGCTTTATTCAGTTATTCCTGTGACATAGGGCATTATATTGGCAAGGCTCTGGCGATACAATATGTATCACGATACAGGGGTTACGATTCAGTATATTTTGATATATTGCGATACTGTAAGCTAGCTAACTTATTATAGGAAAACTTTTATAGTATAAAGAACACACTGTCAGATTTGAGTAATAAAAAGTTGACTTTTTTTATGCAATCAGAGCAGTATGATGTGCATTTGTATATCACAGTCCCTTTAACATCTAGCACTATTTGTGCAGCTGATGATAGATGACAGCACTGCAATCTAGCAGTCAAGATTTAACACAAATTGAAACTCTACCACAAAACCACTGATTCAAAATCTTTACAGTGTTTTTGAGAATTGATACAGCTTTATAAAAGATAATATCGCGATGCTCAAGTGCATGGATATGTTCTTACACCCCCACTGTGACATGGCAAGCCTTGTTGATTACAGCTATAATTAATGAGGTGCTATAAAAATGAAGAGATAGAGCCCAGCTGGTATGACAGTGTTTCTGTTGCCAGGCTGAAAATATCCAAGAAAGTGAGAGGAGACGGTGATGTGTGCCAAATGAAGAATCACTGCAATATTCTGAAAATATCCCTTCAGGGATTTACACAGTGTCTGTGGGGCTATGCAGCATCTTTATGGTGACTTTATTGTACTTAATGGTAATTTGTGTCTCATATGGGAGAGAGTGTCACTGTTTCTCTGGTATTTGACTTCTTGTATCCAAGATACTAAGGCTGCAGATCTTTTTAAAAAGAGATCAACCAGGATCTCAGACCATAACAAAACAAATGACACTGCGTGCCATGTGACGTGTGTGTTGCTATGGGCGTGTCTGTGAAGAATAGCATGCACTTGAACCAAACACATTACAGAGTCTTCTTTTCAAACCGAGGCCTGGCATGTTCGTCGTCAGCTGTAAACACATTTGCTGAGACACTAAACGCAGAGTGCAGAGCAGGCTGAGAGAATGCCTATCCATCTATCTATCTCCGTCTATAATGGACGATACCTGAGGGCCTGAGGGATGTGCTCTTAACTCAGCTGCACACACACTGCACAACACTGCTGAGTCAGTGTTATGGCTTTTGATTGAATAAATGCTCCGAATGCTTCGTCTAATCAACTTTCATGAGCAAATCTGAGAGGCACAGCTGTGATGATGAGGCTGGTTGTGGCCTGTAGGTCTATATGCTCAGAATGAATGGGCTATTTTTAGGAGCATGGAAGCAACCATTGGGGAGGGGAGTCCAGGCTTGTATTCCTCTGTTGCCCATGTAATGTCATATTAATGCAAAATGTATTAAGAATGAATTGAGCTGTTAATTATAGTTCAGCATGTTTTTATTTTTTCACGTAGGTGTCGTGTTTTGATTTTGTTAAAATAGCTTCACTGTCATGTTGCTATGGACACCTTAGCCTTTCCTTCACATCATACACCGGATGTGCTAAATATTATAGATGACGTAGAACACACATACTGTGAGATGCATTATCCTGTACAGATTTCCCCATTGGAATCCGGCACAAAAGGGGGCAGATGTGGATAAATATTACAATAGCAGATAGAGAGGGATATAGTGAGACAAATAATGCAGTTAGAGCTGCATCTCAATATTATGTAGATTTTTGTACTTTTTTGTGTGACGTACAGCAGGCATCGTGGTCCAAATGTGTTGATTTTAAACTGGACCACCATTTGTCCAATACTTTTAGCTATTTCAACTGCTTATCGTATCCAATACATTTAGCTAGGTTAGCTATATATTTTAATCATGTATCCATTACTTTTAGCTAATTTAAACTGTTTATCCTTTACTTTTAGCTAGGAACTATTTCTATTGCTTATCCATTGTATTAAAGTACTTTAGCTATTTTCAATATTTATCCCAATACATTTAATGGTTAGCTATATATTTTAATCATGTATCCATTACTTTTAGCTAATTTAAACTGTTTATCCTTTTACTTTTAGCTAGGGAACTATCTATTGCTTATCCAATTGTATAAAGCTACATTTAAACTATTTCAATATTTTCCATTGGGGGCTAATTTGGAAGCTAACTATTATCCAATACATTTAGCTAGGTTAGCTATATATTTTAAACATTTATCCATTACTTTTAGCTAATTTAAACTGTTTATCCATTACTTTTAGTTTTATCTTCTACTTTTAGCTATCTATTTCAAACTATTTAAAATAGTTATTCATTACTTTTAGCTCCTGCGGAAGTACCCCGGCTGTACAATTGCTATGTGGTTTCAGGCAATTCCAAATCATTTTAGGAGTGCTTTGCTAGTGTAACCACACAAATGGTTTCAGTTTTGAGGGGAATGTGCCGGTCTAATTGCCACTTATCTGTGCTGTTCAGCACAGGCTCTCTCTATCTGATGCACAAGCTCGGTCAGACAAACTCATTCATGTAAATAATGCGATAAATCTGTGGCCAACGTTTTGGATTTAGGACTTGTGAAGCTCTCACCTGCTAAATTGACTTCAAGTTAATTCCAGACAAGGTTACTTTTAGACCTTGTTGTCCGTGTCCATCTAGTATAGTTTTATCAACACTTTATATTATATCTGACATTATAAAAGCAGGGCAGTTTTAAGAACCTTACTAAATATTTTTGTGTCTTGCCTAAACTTTGATAAATAGGCTAGATTTATTTTTCATGCTGGTACCTTCCACAAGGGTTATAGTATTATTAAAAAAGCATGTTCGATTATCTGCTCACCCTGTTTGCAATACACATGGACACACACATCACTCCGTTAACTATTCTTCACCATACAGCAGCAAGGCATTCAAATCTGCTGATGCAAGTTAAGGTCATGAGATGATGTCAGAGCTGTTGTGGCGTTGCATTTCCACGCGTTACAACACAAAACAGCCGTTTGTTAACAGGGTCATCTGTTAGCAGGCTGTTTGTCCGGGAAGTAAAAGCTGGGCTGATGTAGCCTGGAGAAACATTAAAGTTCTTGTTGAAGGGAGTACATTCATGGCTTCTTAGGTGGAGTTTTGTCATCATCAGTCACATGCAACTTAAACCATGAAAGTAATTAGAAATGAGCCATTCCTTCATTAAAAGTGGTCTAGTTTGCATAAAGATAACTAGAGCCCAGAGCTCTCTTTTGCTAAAATTAGGAAGAGAATATGTAATCACTGATGATAAGTAAGTTATGATACTGTGATACTGTGAGCAAAAGATGATAGAAATCATTACATTTAAAATTCCAAGATATAACAGCTTTTCCTTTAAACCTGAATGTGAGCATTTAACAGATAAGGCTGTGTTGTTCTATATTGATATTATTATTATTGTCAATTAAATTCCATGAACTAAAACCAACTTTGAATTGATCCTAGTAACAAGTACATTGTTGTCCAAAAGCCATTAACAAACATTGTGACGTGTTCCCTTCTAGTCAATCCAACATTCACCATTCTCCTTCCTAGAAACACTCCACACTGAATGTGTATTAATCCTCAGCTAAAAATAGTCCCCAACACCTGAACAATTTACTCTATTTACTATATATTTGTGACCTGTTTTTCAAGATTTACAATTTCAGTTGGAATGAAGAGACTTATTGCCACAGACAACATAGGGTAATCAAAAAGTATTGTGAAGCACTATTGTTGGTTTTGGTTGTTATTTGTTGACAAGACTAACCTTTATCCTTTTATTCATAAAACATGAAAAAAATCTTGTTTGTTGAATCCAGATTTATTTTGATTTATTTTGAAATTAGTGACAATATATGTATGACATCTTAAATTAGTCAGAAATGCATCTGAGCATCAGCGGCTCTATAGCAGCTATATTTGTGCTCAATATGGGTGTGTTTCCCCTTATGCAGCATAAGAGTATCCTTTAACAAGTGGTTGTCAACTTTTGTGGTGTCAGAAACCCCAAATGGATACACATCTGTCTGTGGGCCCGTATTTGATAAAATGTAGTCTCAGGGACCCTTGTATGATAAGATTGAGTTATTCCATAACTGTCTGTGCTGTAGATGAACAACAAAGAGTGTAAAATCAAACAGAATAGTCATTCTTATGCATTGGGCTAACTTCTAAATTATAGTGAAAATAAAATATTCCCCATTATCTGGGGACCCCCTGGAACCCCCTCCTGGACCCCAGGTTGAGAACCACTGCTTTAGACTGTCCATTGATACCTTCTGCCTGCTGACTGCAGTGGATCCTGAGACACTGAACCAAAAGTAATGCCTGACCTTTGACATTAATGGCTGAGAGCATCATCACACGCACTCAGTCATACATCCTGTACAGCATTTTTGCATTGTAACTGAACAATGTTGTGTTTGTAGCCACGAATGTGTGTGTGTGTAAGCTGCTTTATGCTCAGGTTTACATCTGCTGCTTATCACAACACTGCTTTCTTGTGTCCCTGCAGGTAAATACAGCCCTTGCACAACAACAGAGGTGAGTAACTCCACTGCAATTCTATTGTAGTTATTGTATTTCATGCACATACTTGCAGAGGTTTGAACAATATTATGTGGACATTTACTTGTGTATAGTATCAAAGCACCTGCTGTGGGTGGGGGAGGAAATAAGAGCAAATATGAAGGAAAGTTGGCAAGTTGGGCACATTATATCTGGAATAACCAGGACTTTTAACCGGGACTTACTTACTGCTTACTGTGCTTTGGCAATGTTACTTTCATGTTTTTATGTGCAACCAAGTTACTAGGTGGTACAAAGAAAACAATATACATGTTTACCACATTGATGGATTTGTTAGGGTGTAACTAGTTTTGAAACAGTTTGGAATGTTTTTTTATGATTACCTCAAAAACCTCACAGAGTGCTGGCTGGGAAACTCCAGTGTTTCTGGAAAGGAACCAGTCGGTCAATTAACGAGATTAACGAGAGGGAACTATATGGTCGTACAGAGAAAGATAAAGGCAGGCTTAACCACAATAATAGCATTATTTCCTTTTTAAATATTTACCCTCCACTGCTGGCCATATTAGCTAGTTACAGTAAAAGAGGGAAGCCAGTCACCACAACAGAGATTGTATTAAGATTAGAGTGGGCACTTTGCAGGATTATTTCAAGTGCAACCAGTGTCAGATACTGTGTGGTTGAAACTGTCATAAGCCATGGGTGTGTGATGTGTTAATCCTCATGCCTGCAATGCAGCTGCTGCAGGTCCCCTGCTGCCTAAACTAAATACCTTTTGATAAATAAAATGAGTTCAAATGTATTTTTTCCAATAGGCACTTGGTTTCACTGCAAGCTTTAAACTCAACATTACACAGAAAAACAAACTTCAGACAGCCTCCAACGCAAGTTGTTGATGGATGAGTTTCTGGCACGCAGCGCCATCAGCATCATCTACTGTTACCTCTCTGCCAACATGTTGATGTCATCAACCACTGGCCAGAGGGTGATGCTTTAAAGAAATAGTTCCACATTTTGGGAAATATGCTAATTACTTGCTGAGAGTTAGATGAAAAGATCAATACCACTCTAATGTCTGTAGTACAGAGCTCGAGCCAGGAAACAATTAGCTTAGCATGAAGGCTGGAAACGGGGAAACAGCTATGCTGGCTCTTTCCAAAACTCCAAAGCTTCTAACGTTTCTGTATAGTTCAATTGAAGTCTAATTGAAAATATTACATTAATAACTGTTTTTGACGTTAATGAGTTTTCTCAACAATTTCTGAAATACAGAATTTTTGTTTCTAAAACTTAACGATTTAGAGTTTTTCTAAAGAAGTTAATTATCATTAATTATCATTAGTTTAATTCAAAACGTATGAGTTTGACTTAAAACTCAAAAATTTAATGAAGACGGTTGCCTTGAAAGTATGAGTTTTCTCAACCTTTTTTTTTTTTTACAAAAACAAGATCTGCAGTTTAAGTTTCTGTTACTTTGGAGATATCCATGCTAAATGTTACCACCATCAGCATACCTATAATAGTGGCTGCTAGGTATGACATAAGACAAAAGCTGTCCGTATGGAAGACCACTCTTTGCCTTTTTCCCCCGGCCTCCCTTTTTTCAGCTTGCATCTTCCATCTAGTAATTTCCTCCATCAGCCCCAGAGCTCCCAGCTGGCTTCTCTGATTGACTGGTTGAAAATGTCACCCAGCAAGGCCTCCTGTTTGATGACAGTTCTGGGAGCAGTTTCAGACCTAATTAATGGGCTATGTAAAATCGTCCCTCCTCCTCACACGCTCTCTGTACTATCATCAGCTGCTGTTAATTGTTGTGATAAAATAGGTCTTACAGCATGGAGGGATTAGCTCTTCTGCGTTTGCATTTTAGGAATATTTTGCTGGAAGGAATGATTTTCACCTGCAGGGATCTCTTTGGTGTCATTCAGCAGATGCTGTCAGAAAAGATGAATCACTTAGGGAGGAACGTATTTTGTTCATGTGATGTTGCACATTGACTGAGGATCTCTCTCCAGTTCATTAGAGACAGTGTGCAGTAGTTTTCAGGGAGTTTTAGAGTTGGATTGCTGTGTAACAGGGCTGTAATAACAGATGGACAGCAAATAACTCAAGCACACACACACACAGTTCACTGTAGAAGCAGAGAATGTGAAACTGTATAGACAAATCCCTGCTAAGCAGCTTTGCACTAGAAATGAGTTCTCACAATACAGTGTGTTACAGACTGGCTGACAAAACTACTGGCAAGTTGTTGGAGCTGCTTGATGCTTGACAGCATTAAATCCTGCAGCAGAAGCATTCTGCTAGAATACAGTGTGGAATTAGCCCAAAGCTGGATGAACAGGGACACATGTGTAGTCCATGCTGACACACATTATCTGCACATGGCTTCAAACAGTGTGAACTATGGCAAATGATGCTGCTGTGAATGTCAGATGATGCTGTTTTGCTCAGAGAGAGCCAATGAGCCGAGTTCCTGGCGCAGCATGCTGCAGCATAGGGCTCTCGGTGTAGTAATCACTACAGCTAAATTCACTGAAAAAATAAGGATGTTCATTAGCAATTTTATGTGCAATTGCTCAAGTGTTACAATTCCATTATTTAGCTACACATTTCCTCCTTTTCATTTGCTAGCTTGTGCATAGAATTTGTTGGTGAGTGACCCCTGCAGCCACGCTAGCTAGACCCTCCTGGTCCCGTGATGCAGTGTAACCTCAGAAATGTGGATTATGAAATGTGGAATGCATCACATTCTCCTCTGTCAAAGTTTAACGGGGCACGCTGTGTGCTCTCTCAACGTCTGAGCTTTGAAGTCTGGGAAGGGATTAGAGTTTAATGTCACATTCAGTGTTTAATGTAAACAGAAAATTCAGTCAGGAGTTATGAAAGTGTTTAGCAGCAATGGCATCGCCTTTTGTGCTTCCTGTTGGATTTGGTGCGAATGAAGAAATAGCGAACATAAAAGTGAGAAGATGTAAAGGAAGAGAGTTGAAAACACACAATGGAGATGGAAAAATGTATGTGCTGCGGTTCGACTGTTCTCTCTGTGAAGTTATGTGGGTTTTGTGTCTCAGTCATATGACAGTCAGAGGTCACAGCTGCAGAGTCGGGCATAAGAATCTTAGAAAGGAATCTCCTCACTGTTTGTTTGTGCCTGAGGGGAAATAACCCATTCCTCTGTCTGTGTCATGATGAATTTACACACAGTATAACGCCTGTTTCTTTTCATTATGGGAATATTTTTACATAACATACATTGTACTGTCTGTCTTCATTATCCAGTCAGTGGCTTGCTTTCAACTTAACACCAATGTCATCAATTATAAAGTGGACAGATTGATTTTTACTCTATCACATTAGCAGGTTCGTTAGATGAAGAGTTGTGTCTGCATTCTCTTGTGCGGTTCATCCAGTTTCATAAACTCTTATTCAATGTGTCCATAGATAGATATTTGGAATAGAGCATATTCTTCTTTATTTGGATGAAAGAATATTAATTTAGCTTAATGTCTGTAATTAAACAACCATATCGATTTCCTCAGTCGAACTGTGCAATTACTGAACTCATTTTGCTGTGCTGCTCTTAATGCCCGCTATAAATACAATTAGTGCTATTACGATAACTGTTGGATGGCTAGACATGAAATTACAAATACTTCAATCCAATGACTGGTGATTCCCTGCCTTTTCAGCTAGTGCTACCAGCAGGTCAAAGTTATCTTATTATTATGGTATATCTAAAAATTGACTAATTGTATTGGCACAAAATTTGGTACAGATATTCATGCCCCCCTCAAGATCAATTGTATCTTTGGTTATCCTCTGATTTTCCCTTTAGTCCCATCATCAGGACAATATCTAATGACATGCCCATCATCTACACTTTGTGTTCAGTGCTAATTAGCAAATGTTAGCATCCTAACACTCTAAACTAAGACTATGTACATGAGAAACACATAACCTGCTAAAAAGCTGCATGTTAGCATTCTCATTGTGTTTGGATGCTGATGTTAGCATTTACACAGCCACATTTAGCACAGCCTCACAGAGCCACTGTAATATGGCTGACCTATTTATACATATACATTCATTGTATAAGTGCCACCACAGTCTTCTACTGGTAGCCAATGTGAAGCTTCAGTTAAGCAGTTGAGACCTCTGAGAAGTAACTGAAGGATTAGTGAGTGTTTTCCCTCATGTGTCCCATTGTCTGTCCAGTCAATCCCACTTTCCTCCCAGAAAAACATACAGGGAATATAAATGGCATATTCCCTGTAATATTTTAATATCTTTGGCTGAAGATGTAGCTGGATGGATGCAAATACTTTTTGACATTTTTGACTTTTTGTGACTATGTTTTAGTTTATTGAGCTAGAGTTAATGCGTGTGCGTTGTCTTTATCAGGGAGAGACTATCAGAGACTAAACATTAACATCACATTTAAAAAACCTGGGATGTGTTGTTAAGAATTAAAATGAAATGCCAGCAGATGGACTGGCACTGAGCCTAGATTTCTGGCTCTTATTGTCTGTAAAGTTGAATAAATAATACAGATGTTTTGTTACAAAAGCTTAAAAGGATGATTATCAGAAGAGAGGTAATTGTTGCAGTTTATTTTTTAGCTCAGTTCCTGTTTAATTTCACTGCCATGACCTAAATGCTATAAACCCACTAATAACTAAATATAAATAAAACCTCACATTGTTTCACCAATCCTTTAATTCTGACCAGTTTGTGCTGATTCTGGTAATCCTCTGCTGGTTGGCTAACACTGATGGATGGAAGGCTTTTGCATACGAGGGAGCAGATCTTCTAGATTTCATTTAGCATTTAATTAGCACAATTGGCTCTGGTGTTGGGTCTGTGGGAATCACACAAAGCTACATAGCTGAAACTAATGTGATTCACAGTCTCTAACAGCTAGTGTGTTTGTCTGAGCCCGCTAAAAATGCATTACCGACCATAACATCCTATTAACAGATCCAGAGACCAGCCTTGCCATTTGTGATCCTCCC